CAGCGTGAAAACGGACTAACACAGTGGATATACCATTTTGCATCCCCAGCAGCTGTGTATGAAAGTTCTGATTGCTATTCATCCTCCCTAGTTCTTGGTATTGTCGCTATATTTTATTTTAACCATTTTAACAGGTATATGATATCTCATTATGAGTTTGCATTTGCACACCCCTAATGACTAGTGATTGAAATATCTTTTCATGTATTTATTTCTCATTTACATATCCTCATTGGTGAGGTATTCCAGTCTTTTAACTATTTTTTAACTAAATTGTTTTCTTACTCCTGAATTGTAAGGGTCCTTTCTTGATACCCTCTGGGTAAAATCGTTTGCTATGTATATAATCTCTGAGTTTTTTCTCTCAGTTTGTGGCTTGTATTTTCCTTCTGTTAACAATGTCATTCACAGAACTAAAGTTTTATATTTTGATGAAGTCTCTTTTTCAATTTTTAAATACATTATGCTTTTGGTGTTCTGTGTAAAAAATTTTTTTTTTTTTTTTTTGAGACAGGGTCTCACTCTGTTTCTCAGTCTGGAGTACAGTGGTATGATCATGACTCACTGCAGCCTCAACCTCTCAGGTTCCAGCAATCTCCCCACCTCACCCCCACAAGTAGCTGGGATTACAGGTGCTCACCACCATGCCCAGCTAATTTTTCTAGTTTTTGTAGAGACAGAGTTTTGCCATGCTGACCAGGCTGGTCTCAAACTCCTGGTCTCAAGTGATCCTCCTGCCTCAGACTCCCAAAATGCTGAGATTACAGGTGTGAGCCACTGCACCTGGCTCCTAAAAACTCTGCCTAGCTCCACTTTATGAAGATTTTTCTCCTATGTTTTTTTCCTAATAGTTTTCTAGTTTTACTAAAATGAATTATCTCTTAATAGCTTAGAGAAAACTGAGGCAGTAAATGAGTCTAAATATTTTGAAATGACATTTTTCATGTTTAAAAACATTCGCAAGTATCTAGAATATTGCATAAGATATATCTGTGAAATATAAAACAAATTCCAAAAGTAAAGGTCTCCATAACTTCAGAAGAAAACATTCCAATGATATGCTTTCTTCATTGTGCAATTCTCAATTTCCTCCTCCACAAAAGGGGCATGAAATGGGTTTGTTGAATGTAACAGTACTGTTCCGTGGTGAGTGAAATTGGATAGAAAAAGTCTTATATTTCTTGACATTAGTCTTAGTAAAAGAAACAAGAGAAATTTTTTTCAAAGGTCAGACTCCCCATGAAATTTATTGTTTAATGAAAATGCACTGACAATCCTAGGACAACACTTGTAATGTCTGAAATATCTAGCAACTGTTTTTAAAGCTAAACATCTTTGAAAAAATTCTTTGAAATATTTTGTAAATGAAGCAATCCCCCCATCAACCCCTTCCAAACAATAACCGATTTCAAGGTATTAACAAAGAAGAGTGCTTTTATGGATCTCTGACTGCATAAATTTTTTCAAGGCATATTATAAATACAACTTTCATAAATACATATGAGATAGCTGAATTAATTTTTTGGTAATAAATTAACTCTGTAGTGATATTAATAGTTTACTTTCCCAAGAGTATTACTGCCATTTTGAAGTATAGTAAGAAATTATTTCCTTAAGTAAAAACTGAAAGAATTTCCATATCAGCTTTCTGTTATAGCTGTTAGACACTTTGGCTCCTACCTAAGCTGTTCTGCCCTGAAATAATCTCAAGATCCTGAGATTTCTTACTAGAAAAATTAAACACTTGTCAAATGAAGAAATAGTAAATCCATTTAGAAGCAGTATTGTAAGTTATAAGATAATTATTATTAGATTTGTCATTGATACAAGTCAACTCAATTTACTTCCCATTATGTAAATGAACCAGTAATTTTATATTACAATGAAATATAAAGATTACCCAAAGAAAAGTTACGACTAGACACTACTGGATATATCTAAAGTTAAACAAAAAAGGGCTGGGGACAGTGGTGAGCACCTGTAACCCAACTACTTGGGAGGCTAAGGTGGAAGAATTACTTGAACTCAGGAGTTTGAGACCAGGCTGGGCAACACAGGGAGTCCCTGTCACATAAAAAAGTAAAATATGATAAACAAAAAGAGCCTAAGTATTTTCAGGAAATTAAAAATCTGATATCTAATATTAAGTAAAAGTGACTCTGAAGTAGCTGGATTTTGATCTTATATTTTCACAAACACAACTTCATGGCCCTCAGTAAATTAAAACTCCATGAGGTTGTGAATTCTGATGATTTTTCCTAAAAATAATGGCCATTTGTAGAATGTTAAAAAAAAAAAAAAAGAAAGAAAAAATAAAGAGATTATGACATGATGAGAAGTTTGCTTTGGGGAAAAAAGAAAGGACAACTTTTTCTGGCCATTCTCTACATATTCCCACCTTTGCTTCTTTTAGGCAGAATATTTCTTTTATTTATTCATTTTTTTTTTTTGAGACGGGCTCTCACTCTCACTCAGGCTGGAATGCAGTGGCACTATCACAGCTCACTGCAGTGCTGAATCCTGGGCTCAAGTGATCTTCTCACTTCTATATCCCAAGTAGCTGGGACTACAGGCATGTGCCACGATGCTTGGTTAATTTATTTTTTATTTTTTTGTAGATGCAGGGTCTGCCAATGTTTCCCAGGCTGGTCTCAAACTCCTGGGTTCAAGTAATTCTCCCACCTCAGCCTCTCAAAGTGTTGGGATTACAGGTGTGAGCCCTTGTGCATGGCCTAGACAGAATATTTTTCTTTCTTTCTTTCTTTCTTTTCTTTTTTCTTTTTAGAGTTATAATCCAATCTTTATTTAAAAATCTAATCTGCCAGCTTAGCTTTTTCCACCAACTCGGGGAGCTGAAACTTTCACAGGCTTCACAATCTTTTGCTTAGGTGCTGCCTTTGTAGGTGCCTTAGCAGCAGTCATCGCAGTCTCTTTAGATGCTTGCTTAGCCTTTTTTGCTTCCTTGGCAGCCCTGATAGCTTGTTCTCACTGAGCCTTTCTAACTTCAGGTTTCTGATTCCTCTTGGCCATGACATCAGCAAGAGATGCACCAGTAATGGCCCTCTGGAATTTGACTGCTCGGTGCGTTCTTTTCTTTTGAATTTCTTCCTACTGTCCCTTTTTGTGCTTTCTTCTGTCGAGGACAGTCCAGTTTATCTGCTGAGGATTCCTCTTGGAAAAGAAAGCCGACTCGCATTTTGCATTAAGAAACTGGAAAACCTTCCCGTCGGTCCTGGCGTAGCGCCTCCCGTTTCCGGGGTAGATCTTGCACCCGCTGAAACTGCACAGCTCGAACTTCATGGCAGCGGCTCCCCGGTAAGAGAAAAGATGGTGAAGAGAAATCTTTTTTTTTTTTTTTTGAGAAGAAATTTTGTTCTTGTTGCCCAGGCTGGAGTGTAATGGCGTAATCCGGCTCACTGTAACCTCCCACTCCAGGGTTCAACCAGTTCTCCTGCCTCAGCGTCCCAAGCAGCTGGGATTATAGGCACCCACCACCCTGCCCAGTTGGGTGTATTTTTTGTATTTTTAGTAGAGAAGGGGTTTCACTATGTTGGCCAGGCTGGTCTTGAGCTCCTGACCTCAGGCGATCCACTTACCTTGGCCTCCCAAAGTGCTTGGATTATAGGCATGAACCACTGCGTCCGGCCCAGAATATTTCTCAATAAAATGAACTTGAGTAAATCTCATTGTTGTGGAGGAGTGCAGTGCTCACCTGCGGGCTTTAATGTGATCTTTCTAATATCCGTGTACTTGGTCATTTCTATTCTCCTGCCTCTCCATCTTCCCATCCACCTCTCTACCTCTCTACCTATTTACCTCCTGAGCTAGCCAGCCTCTTTCCAAAATTAATGTGAGACAATTTAACATGGCTGTATTATACACAAAGTCAGTCTAGCTCTTTGATAGTTTAGATAACTTTAAAATTTACTAAATAATGTTTTATTTTTTCAAATATCTGCAGCTTTGCCCCAAAACATAAAACAGTGTTTTCTTGATTTAGGTACAAAAAAAAGAATCACTTTAAATAGTTTTCTGGTCCATTTGCAAATTTCTTGTTTTGCAAGTTATGCTTTTTTAATACCCAGATTTCCTCATTCAATCATTGTATTCTAGCTGTGCATCCAGTAAGAACAAGGTCACTTGAGGCTCAGAATAGCCCTTCAGCAAAGTGCTGAAAAAATATAGACTTGAGAAGATAATATAAAAGAAAAGTGTTGCCAAAGGTCAAGATAGCCAATGGTTGCATGGATGTGTTGCAAGATCAGGCACATTCACAAGATTTAGAACCGTAGGGGCAGAAAAAACTGTTCCTTTATCCTCTTAGGTTCAGTAGCTGAGAACTACAAATTAAACTGACAAAAGATATATCAATAGGAGAAAAGGTTTATTTTCAATGCACACAGTCTCTTCACAGAAAAGTAGCAAAACCTCAATGAGGCAGTTTGGTGTAGAAGATCTAGGAGTTTATATACCATTTTAACAAAGGGTGATAAGTTGTGGACAGGTGACTAGACAAAGGAAAAGGAGTTTGGGTTTCTGGGGAAGTAAATTGTGAGAAGGCAAATACATGGGGTAAACTAATGGAAGATCAAGCTTATTTTAGTAAGGTTTGTTTTTGCAGACTTATCAGTAGGAATTGTCTCTGGTGATTAGACACCTTTATAAATGGAAATTTACGTCACCTTTATAAAGTGAAATATATGCCCTGTTTTTCAGCAGAAAGATAGAGGACAGAGAGTTCCTCCTGTGTCTGCTGTTTCTTAATTGCCTTCAGCTCAAAATAATCCTCATGCAAAAATGGCATATTTTGAGATGGCATATTAGAATCCCCTTTGGAGCTATTTCATGTTGCCTGATTGCTAGCACATTTCCCTTATAGGTTGGTTCAGAGGACTATTACCATATCATGTCCACGCTTCCTCATTTGGAATTACAATGAGAGTTTAAGGATTAAATGCTTCAATATAACATTCAGTTAATAAAACATCAATTTTACTCACATCTGGTGTTTGAACAGCTGAATTCCACATAACTGGCCTCTGAAGGAATACGATCTGCTTTGTAGCCAAATTCCCTTCACTGCAAATTAAAACAATAGTATTAGTATTTCTGAATTAGTAATTCTCTATAGTTCATAATTGGCTGGAATATTCCATATGTAGTTTTGTAAAATAATCTTCTGACCAAAAATAATTATAAAACATAATTCTTTTTTTTCTTCCAGTGATGGAAAAAATGTAAAACATAATTCTATAAAAACCACATCTGGAAAAAGAAGAACGACCCCTAAAAAACTGAATATGGTCACTACAAAAGGAAACAATTTTAATGTTTAAAGACTCTTGTAATCTCACCAGACTGACATCAATATTTTCGTTTCTTTGTTTCCCCTCTTAGTCTTTATCAGCTTGTGTATTTGCATGTCTGTAATCACTGCATATTTATATTTTGTTTCTATGCCCTTCACTGAATACTCTTTTTTTGTTTGTACACTGTAATCGTCTTTTTAATGGTTGCATAATAACTCAAAGAATTAAAATATCAAAATGTACTCAACCTTTCTTTTATTATTGGAAAATAAGGTTGCTTCCAGTTTCTTGCCAGTTATAAATAAATGATGCTGTTATAAAAAATATGTATCGTATTCATCTTATGAATTATTTTCTTGAAACGAATACTTAGGAGTGGGATTATTAGCTCAAAGCTTATGATTTAAACTCCTTGGTATTCATTGCCAAATTTGCCTTACAAACAGAAGAGACCAATTTAGGCTGCCACATGTGAGAAAATTTACATTCATTTTCAATTGAGGGACTTCAACTATAGCTAGTTTTACTCTCAGATGCTTCTTTGTAGCCAGCTACTCAGTATTCTCCCTATTTAACTATCATCATGGCAAATTACCCCTTGCCAAAGACTACTTGGGGTTTGTATTCCTCTGAAATGCTTTTCACAGAGTCTCCATGGATTTATGGGGAGGAGTGTCTGTAGCTAATGTTGCTCAGTTACGACTTTTATTATGAAAAAAACCCAAACAAAACCTTACTATTAGCTGCATTTTATGCTGAGCTCTTTTTCTGGAAAGTGAATGCAACACTGAAACTCTGGCTTTAGTTATATGTCAACTGCACACCATTTGCAAATCCCGACCTTACTGATACCACTGAATTTTGAGAAATATCAAATCTTTCTCAAAGTGATAACAGGAGACTGCTTCTTTTTTATTTTCATTTTTGAAAGACTGTTTCTAGTCTAATCTCATTAGAGCAAAAAACTTACATAAACATATAGTAACTTTGGGAACAAATCATGAGGCTTTGGTACACGGATAGGATTAGCATGTGTACAGAAAAGGCTGGTCATATGTTTTGGAAGCATGAAGTATACTGGAAAAAGTCATGGTTTTGGAACCATATAGTTCATGTGTTCAAATCCAAATTTTGTCATAGTATCTAATAGTTGACACCTTTAATCAATTAAACCTTAAATTCTCTGACTGTTTTCTATAAGGGACCTTGATAAGTGATAAGTGAAGAAAAGGCATGTGTGAAGAGCTTCCCATTGTGCCTGCCACTAGAAGAAGTACAACAAATGTGATTTCTTTCCACTTTTCCACTCATTTAGTGAAACACACGGTGCAGTTAAGGGAAGGGAGGAAAAGTTTCAGAATCAAGAATATCTTTCAGAGGGCAAATTCAAGGGACAGCCAGATATGGTGTTCATGCCTGTAATCCCAGCACTTTGTGAAGCTGAGGGGGGAGGATCCCTTGAGTCCAGGAGTTTGAGACTAGTCTGGGAAACATACTGAGACTCCTGTCTCGACAAAAACATTAAAAAAAAAATTTATCCAAGTGTGGTGTCACATGCCTGTGGTCCCAGCTACTTGGGAGGCTGAGGTAAGAGGATCACTTGAGCCTGGAGGTTGAGGCTGCAGTGAACCATGATCATACCATTGAACTCTAGAATGGTGATAGAGAGAGAAAAACCTCTTTTTTTTTTTTTTTTGAGATGGAGTTTTGCTCTTGTTGCCCAGGCTGGAGTGCAATCTTGGCTCACTGCAACCTCCACCTCCCGTGTTCAAGTGATTCTCCTGCCTCAGCCTTCCGAGTAGCTGGGATTACAGGCATGCGCCACCATGCCCGGCTAATTTTGTAGTTTTAGTAAAGTTGGTCTTTCTCCATGTTGGTCAGGCTGATCTTGAACTCCTGACCTCAGGTGATCCGCCTGCCTTGGCCTCCCAAAGGTGTGGGCCACTGCACCCTGCTGAGAGAACCTGTCTTAAAAGAAAGAAGGTAGGAGAAGTAAAGAAAAAAGAAAAACAAATTCAAGGGACAGGGTACGCGGGAATAGAGAAGAGACCTTCTGGTTCATGTTCCATGTGTGTGATCCAGGTGGAGAATCACATGAAAGAACCAGGCCTGGAACGATCCAAAGATGGGAAGGAGGGATCAGGGTAGAATTCTTCTTCTTGAAGAGAAAGCAGGAGCACGTTGGGGTAGGGATTGCTGGAGGCCTTACAGGATTGCTTACAGACCAACTACGGATGGGACAATTCTGAATGCACTAAGATGTAACATTTGGCCTACGGCAGGCTTTACAAACTTTACTGTGCATTCCAAACACTGAGGTGTCTGTTGATTCCAGGGTTCACTCCACGTCTATGGAATCTTCATTTCACCAGGCTCCCCAGGTGGCCCTGATGCACAGTATACTTGGGAACCAACATCAGAAGACACAGACTTGGAAGTGTGGACTTCTAGGCCCTGGGGATTACTTGGTGATACTTCCTTCTATCAAAGGCATTCACTATTGGTTTTCCTTGAATAATAAAACCCACCAACAGCTCCTCTTGGTATGGAGTGTGGAACCAAAAAGGGCTTATTTTCTGGAAGCATTCTTGATGTCTATTTTACCATATTCTTCTAATGTGACAAGTGTCCTTAAATTTTTTGGACAATTTTCGCCAGATAGGCTGCCTAGAGCCATACTGAAGACACATATGTTTAACCGCCTGCAGTTTCTCAATGTATTCCTGACCTGACTTGTCTAAAATATAAAGGGATTTTATATTTTGGAATGTGGGTGAGGAGTTACTCCCTCTGCAGTCTGACACAATTCCTGGCAGCAACCCCAAATTATGAAAGAATATCTCTATCAATGGATCCTGAGGCAGTGGGGGAAGGAGAAAGAGGAAGGAGATGGCTATCAAAGGCTCCGTGGGTTGGAGGTGGAGGTAGGTAGGTTAGGGATGTATGCCAAGGAAAAAAGTCCTCAGACGGTGTGACGTGCAGTGCTCGATCCTGGGTTGAGAATCATCGCCTGTATGTTGAAATAGATTCTCTCTGCCAGTGTTCTGCTTGATATTTAACACAGGATGCAGAGAGGTGAAACATGTAGCATAGGGGAGGTGAACCCCCCGTAGCTACTTCAGTGAAGCAAGAGCACTGTCAAACCTATTCCTCCTCTGGTGTGAAGGGGACTGCCTCTGAAAAGGCAGAAGCTTTTTAAGCATGAGCTTTATTTAATTTAATTTTTTTTTGAGGCAGATTCTCACTCTGTCAGCCAGGTACAGTGCAGTGGTATGATTGTGGCTCACTGCAACCTCCGCCTTTTGGGTTCAAGCAATTCTTCTGCCTTAGCCTCCTGAGTAGCTGGGATTACAGGCATGCACCACCACACTGGCTAATTTTTTGTATTTTTAGTAGAGACAGGGTTTCACCTTGTTGGCCAGGCTGGTCTTGAACTTCTGACCTCAAGTGATCCACCTGCTTTGTCCTCCCAAAGTGCCAGGATCACAGGCCTGAGCCACCGTGCCTGGCCTAAGCATGAGCTTTAAAACTGTTGGGTTGAAACTGACAAGTAATGGATCCCGAGGCAGTGGGGGAAGGAGAAAGCCTTCCAGTGGCTCTATGAGGAGTGGTTTGGGGAGTCTAACGAGATAAAAAGCAAATGTGGAGATGGTTTGTCAAAGGCTGACAACTTTAGACAGCATTCAGATGCCCAAAAATAAGACTTTGGAAAGTCAGCATCTGCCTACCTCTTGGGGAGGTCCTCAGAGTCAGATCCCTAATTTGAGATATGTCTGAAACTTCTATGTCCCTGATTTTCTGAGGACCATTTTGATTTAAAATAGGTCCTGCTATTTTCAGACCAGCTGTGAGACTACGTGGAATTGTTTTGGTTTCGAGACTGTAATCATGGTAGACCTAAGGGAAAGAGGTCTGAAGTCTTATAGAGGGACATCTATTTGGTAGAGCAAGTAAGTCCCTTATGGTTCCCAGTGGTTCCTGAGCTGTTTACAGAGCTGGGATAGAATATTTTTCCCTTAGCAAATTGGTGGTCATTATGGGACCTGAGAGGATGTTTCAAACGCCCTGGATGATTTCAGAGGACAGAGCCCACATCTCTTACTCCCTACAAAAATTTTCATCCAAAAAGTGCTGTTAATTATTGATTAATCATTGAAAGCTTTGCTTTAAAATTCCGCCAAATGAATTCAGTTTTGCCAAGAGTGGCTTGCACTAGTTGTAAAACAAACAAGCAACAAAAGTGAAACTAAAAAGCAATTCTATTTACACTTTGATAATATCTTCAGTGATAATTTTTTTTTTTTTGGAGACGGAGTCTCGCTCTGTCACCCAGGCTGGAGTGCAGTGATGCAATTTGGGCTCACTGCAATCCCTACCTTCCAGGTTCTAGTGATTCTTCTGACTCAGCCTCCCGAGTAACTGGGACTACAGGCATGTGCCACTATACCCGACTAACTTTTTTTTGGTATTTTTAGTAGAAATGAGGTTTTACCATGTTGGCGAGCCTGGTCTCAAACTCCTGACCTCAGGTGATCTGTCCGCCCTGGCCTCCCAAAGTGCTGGGATTACTGGTGTTAGCCACTAACCCCGGCTGATAATTAAATTTAAAAAACATTTTTAGGCTGGGTGCGGTGGCTCACGCCTATAATCCCAGCACTTTGGGAGGCCAAGGCGGGTGGATCATGAGGTCAAGAGATCGAGACCATCCTGGCCAAAATGGTGAAACCCTGTTTCTACTAAAAATACAAAAATTAGCTGGACGTGGTTGCG